CCATAAAGATGTACAATATTAATTTTATCATAACCTGATCCAACAACGAAACGTTTACCATTTGGTACAGAACTTACAAAAGTAGGTTCATCGCGTAATATTGGATTTGTATTATATTTGCCACTACAACTTGGATCAACTGATTGAGCTGTGTGAATAACAGCTAGTAGACAAAATAAAAGACTAACACTTTTCATGATAATGTGTATGTGATAGAATGGCTTCTTTTGTTAGAAAAGAAGTGAAGACAAAATGACAGACGGTTTGTTCTCATAATCGTTGACTTATATAAAAATACGCATGTGTTATCGGTGGATATATTTGTTTTTAGTATATACTTTCTCATGATGATATTCGACTTTTTTTAATATAAAAGAATGATTTGATCTAGTTAAGGACAAAGAATACGCTTTATTTTCTGTTTATGAGAATTTCAAAATGATATTTATTTTTAATAAGTTAAAATATTTACTTCATAATAAAGTCAATAGATTCTGTCGCAATATGAGGAAAGTAATCATTCAGTATAGTTTTAAATATATTTTTATTCTAAAGATTAAAACAATAAAGAAAACATCTAACATCAAACTATCATTATAAATGAAACAACATTATTAAATATTGCAGTGCTTATCATTGCTATTTTCCTTGTATTTTATATTTCTTTCATCTTCTATTAAAAGATATAATTATTAAATTAAATAGCTAACATAAAATAAAGAAGTACATTTAAAAATTTATTTATTTATTTTGGTGCTGGTTCAGCAAATAATTTAGCCATGTCAAGTCTTGTATGAACTCGATTAAAAGCTTCCAATGGTCCTTGTGGATCATCAGGAGCACTATATGCTAGATAGGCAGCATTTTCGGCATAATCAAGTACTAAATTAAGCGTATTGCCTGTTCTTAATTGACTAGTGATATTTCGAATAATGGTTGGTGCATCAAGATGACCATAATGTTCAACTAATAAACTACCTAAACATGTATCATTCGAAGGTTGAGGATGTGGATCCCAATAAACAACATCATCTAATATTGGATGATTTGGTGTATTATACATATCTTTCCAAGAGAAGACATTAAATTCTTTGGCACTATATTCAATACCAAGAAAATCGATTGTTTGATCACCAGCTATTGAAGTATTTCGATGATATTCTCCAAGACCAAGATGAACTGAACAAGTACGTTTAGCATTCACAAGCATAGTTAGTGCAGTATCAATTGAATTAGAAAATTGAACAACATCACGAAGAACATATGTCCACGGATTTCCAAATCGTGATGTGATATCTTGTTCTTTTGTAATCCAAACTTTTTGACCTAAACCAACAGAAACTTCATTATAAGCACCAATCGATCCAATAAGACCAAGATAACCAAAATTAGCAAATGTATAAGAACCCGAATATTTTTGTTTATAATAATCATGAAAATGATTTTCATAACCTTCATATGATGTATTTGGATGATAGACAGTTACTGTAGCATATTTAGCAATGGGTGCCTTTTCATCCCAATCTAATGAACGAAGATGAAGTAATGTTGTTTTCGACAACGTCGACTGGCCCCATGCTCCTATAACAGAACAAGCAGCTTTGATTAGTTCTGGAAGTAGATTGAGTCGACGAATATTTTCATAAGATATACCACTACCAGCAGCAAGACCACGAAGTTCTTCATCATACCATGGTGGAGTATAAAAACGTGTAATTTCATAATTAAGATCGAGAGCACCTAATAAACCTAATTCAGCAATCCATTTTGCAACTAACTATTCAGATAAGATACGTATATATTTTTCTATAAAAAATAAATAATTATATTTACTGGTGGTAGTGTCTTAATCAAATCTTCAATTTTGTTATCCAAATAAGCAAAATATTCAGGAACAAGATGTTGTAAATCTTCACTCATTAATTTACCAAGTGCAAGACCCATATCATATGGTGTACCACCATAGACATGTACAATATTAATTTTATCATAACCTGATCCAACAACGAAACGTTTACCATTTGGCACAGAAGTTACAAATTGTGGTTCTCCTCGTAATATTTCATGTGTATTTATAACACCTTTACAACTAGGATCAACTGATTGAACTTGAGAAATAATTGCAAGAATACAGAATAATATAAAATAATTATTATTCATGATTATGACTGTTAGTATGATTAGTAAAGTTGAAATAAATATATAGCAGCTGGTTTATTCTCTCAGATATAAATATATAGGCTAAATTTTATTTTGAAAATGCAAATAAATGCCCAAATACGAGAGAAAAAAAATACGAATATTCATGAACCTAATTCACATCAATCTTTCATATATTTTGCGAATAAGAAACCTATTTTCACACACATATCAATACAACCGGGCTAAGTATAGCCATCGATAATGAAACGAAGAGAGAAAAAAAGAAGAAAAGTAACGTTGTGCAATTGGAAGCAGCAACAATGAGAACAATAAAGCCTATATACATTTGCACAAACCAAACAAAGGAAAAGAAAAGTGCGTGCTATAGTACATTCTATCTATCTCAAAAAAAAGAGAATTATTAAAAAGACAAAACGAAAAGGAAAATTGTGAGCATATATAAATAAATAAATAAAATATACGAAACAAAAAACAATTGCACAAACAAAAACATTTTCATGTGCAAAATTTGTTTCAGATTTCATTGATATTCAATAGAGGAGAAAACAATTAAGAAACTATCAGTGTTTAATGAGTTGATGATCTTGTATTCGAAGTTAATTGATCGATTACACCAGGAGCAAAAACTCGACGCGCTGCTTTCAATACTGCTTCTCGAGTAACAAGATTTGGTTGTGAATTCCAATTATTAGTTTTTGATAATGTTGACTGATAAGGATTCATAGTTTGATACATTAATACTGAATTTGTATTATTACTTAATGTTGATACCATACTATTTGACCAACGTCCTGTATCAGTTAATAATTGATTGGCTGGTGTTGTTGTTTCAATCGAGTCATACAATCTTGGAGTATTACGATTAATTGTACGAATATTTCTTACAGCTGGACCAACATCAGCAACAGATAATTTTGTAAAATCAATTGTTGATGTTTTCATATGTTGATTTTGTTTATCATTTATATTTGATATTGGAAGTAATGACATATATTCAAGTTGAGTTCGTCGTAATTGTTTTAATGTTTGTTCCATTTCAACTACATCACTATCTGTATCACTTAATCGATCAATTTCATCATCATCATGATAACCATTTTGATGTTTATTAACAGATTCTTCTGTAGTTAAATTTTCATCATCATCATCCTCATCTTCATTTCGATTTTGATTACTAGTTGTTAATGATTTACGAACAATTGATGATTTCATTTGTCGATTACTATCATCAATTGCTTTTAATTGTACTTCAGCATCTTGTAATTTTCGGTCAACAGATGCTTTATCTGCACGTAGTTGATCTATTGTTCGTTGTAATGTTGAATGAAGATTATCTTTCTATAAAATATACAGATTATTATAATACAATTCGAAGTCTTATCCATAGAATTCTTTTCATAGTTTTACTCAATTGTATATTTCAATGAATCTCTATTATTTTATTTGAATTAGGAGTTATTTAAAATAAACCTCTTACTGTATTGTTCAATGATAATGAACTCATTCAATTTCGGATAGAAAAATCTATCCTGATGAGATTTGAAGACAAAAAAGTAAGATCATATGATCTGGTATTGTTTAATGAATCTCTCTAAGTTTGATTGTCATTCATATAATCAATATTTACATAAGTAAAATATCCTTGAATGATATATATATACACTGAAATCATGAGCTCAAAGATAGTTTAGACTAAACAATACCTCTTTCATATGTTTTTCTAATTTATCTCGATCTGCTTTCGCTTGTTCATAACGTCGAGTCAAATCATCAATTTCATTTTTATGTCGATTTTCCATTTGACGTAATTTCTTTAAAACAAAAATAGAATATTCAAAAAAAGATAATTTTTTTTTATAGAAATCAAACCTCATCATAATCATTTTTATCTCGTGCAAGTTTATCTTGTACAGAACGAAGTTGTGAACTTAGATTACTTTGTTGTTCAAGTGTACCTTTATACACATCGAGATCAGATTGCATACTTGCTCTAAAAATTTGATTCTCGGTCTTATATAATAAAATATATTTTGTTTTTGATTACCGTAATTTTTTTTGAAGTTCATCTTTTTCTCTTTCAATTGTTTGTTTCATTTGATTAATTTCTTCTTGTTTTCGAATTTCTAATAATTTTTTTTCTTGTACAATACTATCACGTATATCATTCTCAATTGAACTAAATAAATAAATCTAAATTATGTATAATTAGTTTATCTAAGTTTTACTTTAAATCAGCTTTCATTTTATCACGTAATGTTCGTTCTTGTTTTTCTTTATCTGAACGTAATTCATTTCTTAATCTTTCAAGATATTTATCATTCTCTTCAAGTATTTGTAATTTTTCTTCATTCGTAGATCTTATTAAAAATAAAAAATTAATCTCATAAGAATATATATATGTATATTTACTGTTCAAGTCGCATTCGAAGTTTTGTTAAATCAACTTCTTCACGTGGAGTAATAAATGTATCTTCCTATTATAGATTCTATGAAAAGAAACTAATTAAAAATAAAATTTTTATTTACATTCGTTAAAGTAGTTTCTGGTTTATGTACGGTTCCATTTGATAGACGACGTAGTGCAGCTTCAGCAGCTAAATCTGCACGTCTTTTACGTTCATTATCTTCATCATCATCATCAAAATCGTTTTGATAATCATGTTTTTTATCTAAAAAAATAGATTTAGTTTTTATATGAAAAAATAATTTCTATATAATATACCAGTATTTTCCATTGAATTTAATGAACGAGATGCAGCAAGTGCAGATGCTGTAATAGCTTCTTTTTCACCATGTTCAATACGCGCAGAAAGTAATGGATCAATACCAAAATCGACTCTTCTTCGAAAATCATCACTACTTTGTTCATCATCATCATCTTCACTATTGATTAATTCTTCTTCAATTTCATCATTATCACTGTTTACATATTGAGAATCTAAGAAAAATTTAAAAAAATAAAAAAAAATATTTCCATTGTTTCTCTTTTGTTACCAATTTTATTCCCTTGTACGACATTTCTTGTAACGACAGG